AGAGAAAAATAATTTTTTTTTTCTATTTTACCCTTATCATTAATTAAATTCTTCAAATCATTTTTCAAGATTTTTTGAAATGTTATTATTATTATAAGTAAAATTGTAAAATACATACTTCAATTATTTTTTTCTTAAAAGGAGTGTAAAGTCAAAAGTGAACAAGTAAAAGTGAACGGTGAGATTTTCTTTTTGGTGTACCAAAAGGAATATGAGAATTTTCTGAAGCTTCATTACATTTATCCACTTCAATATAAAAGACCTTTTTGTGTACACTAAAAACTACTACTACTATCTATATATTTATTATCCTTTTTCTAGTGATAAAAAAGAATATATACCTCTATATTATCATATATTTAGACGTACTAACTACTGATTTTAATAATGGGCGCAGCAAAAAGTGATCTCCAGTTAAATTACTACTCACAGAGTTGCCCAAGAGCTGAAGAAATTGTCAAAGAACAAGTCATCAAGTTGTACCATAAACATGGAAATACTGCAGTTTCTTGGATCAGAAATCTCTTCCACGATTGCATGGTTAAGGTAATGCATATATACATCCACTTAAGAAAAATTAATGAGAGTCCTGAGCTATTATATTCCCGTTAATATACTATGTAAAGGCGAATTCAATTTAAACTTAAAAATAATATGTTCAGTTGAACCTGTATAGCTCCGTCTCTAAGCCACTATAAATTTGATTTTTTTCCTTGCAAGTCATGCGATGCATCAATACTATTGGACACAACAAAGGGACAGAAATCAGAGAAAATATCTCAGAGGAATTTTGGGATGAGAAATTTTAAGTATATAGAGACAATTAAAGAGGCCCTTGAGAATGAATGTCCAAACACAGTTTCTTGTGCTGATATTGTTGTTCTTTCTGCTAGAGATGGTGTTGTCATGGTACGTTAATGTCTTTAATTAATAACCTCGTCTCAATTTCATTTTTTTTCTTATAAAAGTGAAACTGTTTAATTTAATTTGTTTATTTGAGACAGTTAGGTGGGCCACACATTGAAATGAAAACTGGCAGAAGGGATAGCAAAGACAGTTACTTAACAGAAGTTGAGAATTTCATTCCAAACCACAATGATTCCATGTCGTTAGTTCTTTCTCGTTTTCAGTCTGTTGGTGTTGACACTGAAGGAACAGTTGCTCTACTTGGTAACTATCCTCCCTAATTAGACATTTCTCAAAAGTTGTTAAGATCGAAATAATTAGGTGTCATGCGGAAGCTAGTAAAACAAACGTAGAATGATAATAGATCACACAACAAAAGAGAAATATACCAAAATAAAAATAAATATTTAACGTGATTTAGTCAATTAACCTACGTTCACATGCGGAGATAAGCAATCTACCATATAAAAAAGAGTACAAAATATCGAGAGAACAACCTCACAAATTAAGAGACACACACAAGCGGCAGCTAACACTTGTCCCAAAAATTCTCCCACTAAATAAGATTTTCAAACCCCTTATGGTTACATTGCGGATGCTACTAAATGAGAATGAAGGATCCTCAATTTATAGAAGTCCAAAACCGTTTTCTCAAAAAAAAAAAAAGGACTAGCCAAATATGGAAGAATTATATTTTTCTTTTGACAAAAGGTCAAATCAATTATGTTAAATATGTCGTCATTCCTTCAAGAGATAAGAAAACCAAATATGATAAGAAAATTAAATCAGAACATACTCTTAACAAAATATGGGTTAATTTTACACATGGTTATCCACTAGTGCTAGTATCAATTGGAAAATCTTTATGTGACGGCTTAAGTTTTTGACAATTTTCATGCATTTTATGTGAAACATTGTATTAATAGTTGATTAATCTTATGAATTTTACTAGGTTAAAATTCTTGCTACAAGAGAATCTTAGTTTACGACTAAATGTGAAACCAATTCAAGAAGCTCAATACCATTTTTCTTTGGAATCTTTACACAAATAGTCGGCTGAATTTACTGTTTATTGGTTTTGTATGTAGGGGCACATACAGTAGGACGGGTTCACTGTGTAAACATAGTACAGAGACTTTATCCAACAGTTGATCCAACCCTAGACCCCAACTATGCCAATTATCTCAAAGGGCGATGCCCCTCCCCGAACCCTGATCCTAAATCAGTAGAGTACGCCAGAAACGACCGTGTAACGCCAATGGTGTTGGACAACGTGTACTACAAGAACATTTTGAGCAATAAAGGGCTGTTAATTGTGGATCAACAGTTGGTTTCAGATCCAACTACATATCCTTTTGTGGAGAAGTTTGCTAAGGATAATGGATATTTTCATAGTCAGTTTGCTAAAGCTCTGATTATCTTGTCAGAAAATAGTCCAATTAATGGTGATAAAGGGGAGATAAGAAAGGTCTGTCGTCATGTGAACAATTGACTAGAAATGATGTACTACCAAATATAATATAAGTGCAATTAGAATTCTATTTCTTGTTGGGTATGTTACCATTATAAAATCAAGTGTAACAATCGTTGAATGTTGACGCAGAGTACTGACGTATATTTAAAAGTTTAAACTGTTTAGAGAAAATGTGTTACGTGATGATGATATACACATTATTTACTCAATCAGATTATTTAAAAGTAACCTCTTATAACATGTTAAAATATATTGTTAATTTTAAAAATTAATGGCCAAGCATGTGAATTTCCTTTTGAAAATGAGTAATTGTGAGACTCGAACCAAGACCTTTGTATATTTTGGTACCATGTGAAGTGCGTACATGATCATCTTATGTAAAAGATTAATTAGCTGTTAAAGAAAAACACACATATTCTAATTTAGTTATATCTTCAACAACCATTACCATAATGTTATACACACTATGTATATATCCTACGGCTTATGGTAATGGGCGTTGAATATATATATATATATATATATATATAGATAGACACGTGCGCGCACAGATAATTGTCTAGTTATAACTTCAATGATGATTCTTTCATAACAATAAGTAGAGAGAATAAAAAAGAGAGTAGAGCGTATGAAATTATTGTGACGAACAAATTTTCTTTTTTCATTTCTGTTTGAAAACAGCTTAATGTTTTCTCTCATCCTGAACGTAAATGTTAAAAAGATTGACCTTCCTTCCCTTTTCCTGAAGATCTCAATCAGGATGAGAAGTTTCTGAATAAAATCAAGATTTTGTTATATATTTATCAAAAAAATCAATTAGTGTATATATATGATAACAAAAAACGAATGCATGTACTAATCAAATACTATCAATTACAATATATGTGTATAGACAATAACTACACATACATGATAGATGGGATCTTAGACATACGCTAACTAAAACCCAATACTCTTTTTTGTATTGTTTAAGCCACCAAAGCAACTTTATCCGTTTTCTTTACTTGCTCTATTTAATTTGAGAAAATCAATATTTATTCCTTAAAGAAAGAGCATGTGAACGAAGCATTAATTAAGACAAGAAAAAAATAGCTCATCTAACATACTACTGTTAACAAGTACTGATCTTGGTAGATTGTAGTTAGTATGACCCAAACGTTGTTGTTCTTTTTAATTATTGAAGTGGTTGTTGTTATTTCTCTTTTTCTCTTCATCTTAATAGAATATAATCTCAACTTGGAAATGTTAATTTGTCATGATTTAAATAAAGTATAAAGTATGTTAAATCTACTTATTATAAATCTATAGGGTTAGTGTAAAGTGTAAAAAAAAACTAGGAGTAAGTTAATTTTTTTCCATAAATAGCCTCGACCCTTAAAAGTCATTAAAGAACTTAATAATTAATGAAGTCACGAGTATAAATATCTTCTACAAGATTCAATCATGTGGTGTGCCTTTTCGTCTTTATTTTTGGCTTGCTTTTCTAGCTTCCTTTCTTGTACCAATTTTCACTACAAGCATCTTGCTAGAGAATGACTTTCTCAGATCTCAATGTTAACTGCATAAAAATAACAATTTAATCAAAACCGTAGTTTTTAGCTTTAAGGTGGTAACGTTATCCATTATATCTTTGCCCACCTTTTATGGAGAGATCCGTTTGTAATACACATGTTTCATTACTTTAGTTTTCTTAAGAGAATAGCAAGGCAACTATATTATTAGACTTATTTATGCCTTTTGTTCCACCATCGAATCTACCTTTTCCATTTTACCAAAAAGCAATAAGAAAACAAAAACAAAAAGGGTAGTCCGTTGCACTTAGCTTCCGCTATGCTTGGGGTCAAGGGAAGGGTTGCATCACACGGATCTATTGTATGTATCCTTACCTTGCATTTCTGCAAGAGACTGTTTCTACGGTTCGAACCTGTGACCTCATGGTCACATGGCAATAATTTTACCAGTTACGTCAAGGCTCCCCTCCTAAAAAGCAATAAGAAAACAAAAAATTTAGAATGAAGTAATATTTGTGTGTGAAAGAGAGACTACAATAAACTCAGGGTGTGGAAATTATGAGAATTGAGATATTAGTCCCAATATTGGGTTTACACAAAGGAATACTCCTTAATACAAGCGAGTTCGGATTAGCTAATTAAAAATAGTTGATAGACATGTAAGTGTTAAAATTTATTTTATAAAGATGTTAAAACTAATATTAATAATAAGTGTAAACAAAATATAAAAAATGGCAAGTAGGAACATGAGTCATTTCCAAGTCTCTAAAAGTTAAATCCAAAAATTAAGAAGTTCCAACCTAATTAGTACTAAACCAAATGTGGGAATTATACTACGTTAGGTCTGAAAAACCACATTAAATTGCCCAATGTTTTTGTTCCTAGCTGGTTATAAACTGCCATGCCCTGTCCTGTCTTATCCTCCCCATAATAATAATAATATATTATCCTCTAATCACAATTCACTAGAAAACAACAACAAAAATATGGGACCAATTCTGAGCTTTCGAGTAAAAAGAAAATATAGGAAAAGGCATCTTTACGCAGTAAATTTTTACCGTTGTAAACAGTACGTGTCTTCTAACCGCAAAATCCTGTCTTTTTCTATATCCTTTGGATTCGCTTCTTCATTCACACCCCTTCTCTCTGTTCTTCTGCCCCTTAATCCTCACTCTTCTCTGCTCACTATTTTCTAAGGCTGAAAAATATCTTACCCTCTTTGTAACTTCACAAAATTCTTGTAACAGATTGATCTTTTGCTCTTAAAAATCTCAGCTTTGTATAATTTGAGCTTCATTCTTTTAATGGGTTTTGCTAAAATCTAGCAATAAAGTCAACTCATGCAGAATTTTCCAGCAATATTCTTATAAACTTCATCTTGTTAATCCTCACTCTAGTCTGTCAGTTTCTACTATCTTACATTGCCACTATTTCTTAGGCCAAGAAAATATCTCTCTTCTTTGTAACTTCACAGAATTTGCTCTGAAAAATCTCACCTTTATGCAATTTAATGGGCGTTGCTAAATTCTAGCAATGAAGTCAATTCCTACATATAGCAACATTCTTGTATGGTTCATACTATTGTTCTGTTTTTGCAGTAGTAATAAGTCAATATTTGCTATAACTGAGTTTGACTTTGGAACATTAACTCTGAGTAATTTGAAGCTTCTTGGAGATGCACATTTGGGTGACAACAACAGTGTTCAGTTAACACGTGATCTTGCCGTGCCAAATTCCGGTGCCGGAAAAGCTTTATATTCAAAGCCAGTAAGATTCCGGCAGCCGGGTCTTGATTTCCCGGCGAGTTTCTCTACATTCTTTTCATTTTCAGTGACTAATTTGAACCCATCGTCTATTGGTGGCGGTCTTGCTTTTGTACTCACTCCTAATGATGAGTCAGTAGGTGATGCTGGTGGGTATATGGGAATCTTGGATTCTAAAGGCACACAAAGTGGTACAATTTCAGTTGAATTTGACACCCTTATGGATGTTGAGTTTAAGGATATTAATGGAAATCATGTTGGTTTGGATCTGAATTCAATGGTTTCAACTCAAGTTGGTGATTTGGAATCTATTGGTGTTGATCTCAAGAGTGGTGATATAGTCAATTCTTGGATTGAATATTCTGGTTCTACTGCAGAGTTGAATGTGTTTGTATCATACTCTAATTTAAAACCAAAGGAACCATTTTTGTCTGTTGTTCTGAATATTGCTGAGTATGTAAATGATTTCATGTTTGTTGGGTTTTCTGGTTCAACTCAAGGGAGTACTGAGATTCATAGTATTGAGTGGTGGAGTTTTAGTTCATCATTTGATGCAAGTCCTAAGTCGGCGGCCGCGGCTGCGCCACCACCGCCAACGGCTAGTTTGATGAATCCCACGGCGGACTCCGTCACGTCGCGGCCGCCTTCTATGGCTCCTTCAGAGTCTAATAGTAGTGCAAGTATAATGCAAGACAAGAGCAGTGGGAAATGTCATAGCAATTTTTGTAAACAAGGTCCTGGAGCTGTTGTTGGTGTGGTGACCGCTAGTGCATTTTTTCTTGCATTTGCTACATTGGTACTTATTTGGTTATACACCAAAAAGTTCAAGAAAGTGAAAAATTCTGAATTTTTGGCATCTGATGTTATCAAAATGCCTAAGGAGTTTAGCTACAAAGAGCTTAAATTGGCTACAAAAGGCTTTGATTCGACGAGGATTATAGGCCACGGTGCATTTGGGACAGTTTACAAGGGCATCTTATCGGACAATGGTGGCATTGTGGCAGTCAAGAGATGTAGTCATAACGGACAAGGGAAAGCGGAGTTCTTATCTGAATTATCTATAATTGGAACACTTAGGCACAGAAATCTTGTTAGACTTCAAGGATGGTGCCATGAGAAAGGTGAAATTCTGTTAGTCTATGATCTTATGCCTAATGGGAGTCTTGATAAGGCATTATTTGAATCAAGAATGATTCTACCTTGGCTACATAGGAGGAAAATTTTGCTAGGTGTTGCTTCAGCCTTGGCATATTTACATCAAGAATGTGAAAATCAGGTGATTCATAGGGATATAAAGAGTAGTAACATTATGTTGGATGAAGGGTTCAATGCAAGATTAGGTGATTTTGGATTAGCAAGACAAGTTGAACATGATAAGTCACCCGATGCAACGGTAGCAGCCGGGACAATGGGCTACTTAGCTCCTGAATACTTATTAACCGGAAGAGCAACCGAAAAAACTGATGTTTTTAGCTATGGAGCAGTGGTTCTTGAAGTGGCAAGTGGAAGGAGGCCAATTGAGAGGGAAACAACAAGAGTTGAGAAAGTTGGAGTGAATAGTAACTTGGTTGAATGGGTTTGGGGGTTACATAGAGAAGGGAATTTGCTAATGGCAGCTGATTCAAGACTTTGTGATGAGTTTGATGAAGCAGAGATGAGAAGGGTTCTAATGGTTGGGTTAGCTTGTTCACATCCTGACCCTATGGTTAGACCAACAATGAGAAGTGTGGTTCAAATGCTAGTTGGTGAAACTGAAGTTCCTATTGTCCCAAGAACTAAGCCTTGTATGAGTTTTAGCACATCACATCTTCTAATGACTTTGCAAGATAGTGTTTCTGATTTGAATGGTATGATCACACTTTCCACTTCATCATCTGAAAATAGCTTCACTGGTGTTGGCAATAGCATGGACTTGGTCTAATTCATGTCAAGAAAAGAGCATCAACTTTTAGTTAAAACTTTTTTGTTTTGTTCATAATTAAATTGATCATTAATTTAATTCCTATTATATTTGTACCAAATAAGCTTAAAATATTATGTATCTTTTTCCTTTTGCTTTCATATACTCTAGTCCATTGAGTGTAAGATACAGGAATTTAGTGAAAAAGATAATATAAAGTCTTTTTCTTGGTTTTGTTGGGTGGATTGTTTTAGTGGAGAGGTGAGAAGTTGCTATCTTAAGTTATCTTTTAGTCAAAAAGCCTACATGTTAAACTTGAGTAGAGGTTTGGTAAAGTATGAGTGTAGTATAATGCCAATCAACAAAAGAAAGGCATATTTATTGTACTTCTTTAATACTGGCTACTATGGGCAATAAAATAGTGGGAAAAAAAAGGAATTTTAATATTTTTTTGCTTTCCCTTTTTCTTATAAGGTCCTCAACAACAACAACCTAGTAGAGTCCCACAAACGAAGTCTGGAAGGGTAGTGTGTACGCAGACCTTATCCTTACCCTTGGGGAAGAGGATAGAAACGTTGTTTCCGATAGACGCTCGGCTTAAGAAGGTCCTCAATGGATAAAATTTCCCTATTAATGCTATGAATTAAAATTTTGCCCCAACGAATTAATAGGATGAATGATCAGGTAATATTGGTCCAGATACAAATTAAAATTAAATTTCTCTCTTTATATATATAATTAATTTTCTTGTGAAGTGGGATTGAATAATATCTTCACGTAGATTGAAGGGATTGAATAATATCTTTACTTAGATTGAAGGTGTCTTCGTCACTGCTGCTTCGCCATGTCTACTTTATGGAGAAAACGCATGGACCATGCTCATAATCATCACTTTGGCTGAGTTTTGTTTCTTCCATTTTCATTAAATGTTCAACTGGACAATTCCAGCCATCCCTTTCTTGGACATTTCTTCTCATTCTATAGTAATGTCTTTTGTTTTTTCCCAAAATGCATCGTGTGGATTGCATTGTAATGGGCACCCTCACCATTGAGAAAAAATGATAATATATAGCCTCTGTAAATAAAAGTCGAAAAATATGTAAAATTTGTATATTTTTTGTATCTATATACATTATGTATGTTATATAAATTATACAAATTTTATATATACATAAAATAGATTTAACCTTAAATGTACAATATAAATTTTCGGACGAACCTCCTTCTGCCCTCTAGCTCTGCTCCTGACTATGGAGAAAGCATGTCGAGTGCCTATGTCCAATAAGGAGAGTTTATTCTTAATTGGACAGTGCGGACGTTTATGCTACTACATGGTTACAGTCAATTGTTGTCAGAGATGTTTGGCTAGGTCTTGTATAAAATAAAATTAAGAAAAAAAAAAATCAGTTTTATGTTGTTGAGACATATGTCTGACAAAAACTAAAATAGTTAAAAAGGATTAGTATTATAAACATCACCCTAATTACCAATTAAAGAAACCACACTCTAGTAGAATGAGCATCTAAACATTACATAAACAGCAAATTAAAATACTTAAATTTTGGAAATGAACGATACCATTGTGTTAGTGTCCGACAACAAACCTAGGATATACAAAAATTAATATAATTTAATGTCAGTATAGTTTGTCATTAACGTCGATACTCATCGTAACCCAATATTTTTTCCTAATTACTGCAAAAATTCATCTTCACTGATTAAATGCCGACCAAATTAGATGATAAATCCCACATGCACACAAGTTCCAGTGAAAATCTTGTTGGTGAAACAAAAAGGTTAGATTCTATTATTCACCTAACGCGAACATGAATCTGTGAATGGACTCACATGCATGATGATATTGTTGGACAGTAATGGGGAAGGTTTTAATTTCATTTCGACCTCATTTTACAAGAGAGAGAGTTATAATTTATATTGTGTGGACTTTCTAAAATAGGTGTCGCATTCATGTCATCCTCTAAAAATGTATTGTTTTTGAAGGATCTGACACGCTCCCATCAATATTTTTGAAAAGTCTGAACAACATAAGTTATTACACATATTCGACACATTACAATTATATAAAACAAAATTTGATATGATTTAGGACTTGTTTGGCTAAATGTTGAAAGTCTACTTATTTTTTGAGATATTTTTTTGTCAAAATAAACATTTAGAGAAGTACTTTGAAAAGAATAGCAATTTATATTTAAGTAATTCATTTGGAAATCGCTTGATTTTGTCAATATAAGAAAAAAAGTTTAAGTATGCTCTATCTTTCAAAAAATATTTCCAGTGTCAACTTACGAAAATTGAACTTAATGACTTTATCAATAATACCGCAAGTTGGACTGTTTGTAAAGTCAGATCTCTCTATAACAGTATCCCTATATAACTCAAGTTTTTTCTGGAATCGATTTTTATATTAGGTTATAATATATATTCTCTATAACAACACTTCACTATAGCAGCCAAAAAATATCATAACAAACGAGGTTGTTATAGAAAGGTTTGATTGTAGCTAATAAATATTTTTATTAGGTGGAAACTGAGGTATATATCCACTAACCTACCTGTATTAATTTCATATTATCCTTATTGTTATAAATAGAATTGTATTTAATGTAAATGTCTATATTTTAGAGAGATTTTAGGAATTTTACTTGGTGGCTAAGTCACTATTTCCCTATAAATAGAGGGGTCCTATTCCATTTTAATTCATCCCAAATCAATAAGAATTCTCTCTCTCTACTTTTCTTTGGAATACTCTTTTCTTCTTTTATCGTTTATAACACGTTATCAGCATGAGACTCTAACCAATTGAGTAGAAGCTTTGGGATTGAGCATAATGACTGTCAATTGTTCCATGAACTTCCTTCATGATTAAATTCTAGATTTAAGGTAAGTATTTACTTTATTTTTCTCTTTTAAATTCTTGACATTTTATAATTTGATTTTAAATATAAGCAAAGACAATAAATTTTGATTATAACTCTAATGGAGTTTGTAAGAAATTAAAACCACGCGAAGTGGTAAAATTTTTATGTCTTGCCATGATCAAATTCATGTATGATTGTGAGCACAAGAAGTGGAAACCCGTCCCATTGAATTTGCTTCGTTCTCATTCCCTTAAGAGAATGTGGTAGCAATATGTTAGAAGTCTGAAAGAAGACAAAATTATTATCGTAAAGGTATCAATGGATGGACGTGGTAATAGATGAAATTATAATCGTCATCATCGTGGTAATGAGAATAATAAGGATTCTCAAATTATCTTTCACTCTGTGAAAGTAATGTTTGTCATCGATTTGACATGAGATTTTGTAAAGCACATATGAATAATTATGGTCCATTCATGATGTGAATGTGACAACATGTGATTTATGAATACATATTCATTTTTGGAATAATATGAATGTGCTAGTAGTAGTGAATCTACCACACTCACCTCTAGAAGGAGGTTTGAAATGATATAAGAAAATAATATCATTATTATGGATTGATAAGAAAATAATATCATTATTATGGATTGAATGGTCATTGGTCACGTACCTATTGCACGCCAAAATATTTTGCTAATGTGATTATTAAAGGATAGCAGTAATGCAAGAAACAAATCTTGCATATAATTTTGATCATGACCATAATGGTATAACTTTCTCTTTAAAAGAGAAATTCACCATATGGATGTTGATGAATATGTGGTAGTACCAAATTAATTGAGAGCTCCGGAAGAGCCAATCATTACTATTTTGGAGGAATACAATTGATTATCATGTCAGTTTATTGTGTGGTAGTAAGTCTCAAAGCAACTTAATTGAGTTTCTAAAGTATTCGCGAAAGCGGTTGGTTATATTGAGACTATAAATAAATGAAAGATTTATTATCTTCTTTTACTACAACTTGTGGCGGGGTAATATGTATGTAAAAAGTTACCCACTTTATTCTCTAGTTTGTACTACACAAATAAAAGAATACCACAATAAAGTGGATTTTTATTGATATAAAAACCCATATCATAATAAACGTAGAATTTATTGATAATTGCACACGTCATGGTGTAAACCTGAACTTTATCAATATTGATAATTTATTCAGTTGGCATATTGGTTTAGCCATGTTAATTTAAGTATGATGTGCAAAAATAAAAGAGAATTCACATGGGTACATATTAAAGAACTAGAAAGTTCTTTATGAATTCTCTTATGTTGCTTGTTCTCATTAATTAATAGACCAACTACAATTGGGATTGAATCCCATGAATGCTGGAAATATCAAAGGTGATGGGCACATTCACCTGCCATGTATACCACATAAGATGCATCTATGAGATGGTTACATGTGCGATTATTATTAACCCGCAACTTGATGTTTGTGAGGTAACTTCCTCAATAATTTAATTTAGAGCATAATTTCTAGATTTTCTATTCAAGATAGTTCACCTTAATAAGTTGGTTTACATCACAGTTGGTTTAGCAAAATGATTTATTGAGTGCCTATAGCTAAACTATTTCTTATGAGAACAAAGTTATTTAAATCAGTTTGATATACGTTATGTACGAAAGTATATTACATTATCCCCTCACAAGTGGTTTAGGGTCAGAAACCAAATAAACCCATCTTATTATTATTTATGTGCGGTGTATATTTTAATTAACACCATAATGCACAAATGTGGGTTTCCAAACTTGAGGAAGCAAGTTAGTTTTTCTAACATAAGGGGGAGACAAGATACAAATTGAGAAAAAGTTACATGGAATGAATTATCATATATACATTTAGATCCTCGAATAAGATAATATGAACTTGAAGTTCATAAAAAGATAATTCATCTGCAATATATTGCAAAGCATGCCAGACGCATTTACTGACCCAAAGAAAGTAACTATAATTTTACTGAAAATGCTCCCATTAGAATAACTCCTAGAAGGACAAAGTCTATGGTACGCTTATAGCGTATAGACAAATCGATTTCAAATAAAATTCTTGATAAAGAAGATGAGCAAATGATCAAAATGATCATAATATGGAGGCAAGTGATATAGAACTTCACATGACATAACACTTCATAAAATCTCAGGAAAGGTTCGGGTACCTGAAAATATGAATGAAGAGATCTCTATGGTATATCTTTATGAAAAAAATATTGGAACCGATATAAAATGTTCGTCGACGACATCTATCATAGTGTTAAGTATAGATGAGGACCTCAAGTCTGTCGAATACAGACACAA